GAACTTATATATCAGAAAGAGACGTATATTCGCTCTCCTAGCTCATTCCTTTGTAATTTACAGAAAAGAAGATTCTTTTCCTAGCGAATTCCTCACCTGATTCATGATTTAAGGAAAGCAAAGTCTTCCATTTTTATATTTTGCCTATTATACCAATCTGCAGTTAAAATATTACACTGAAAAATTATAGTTTCTTAACATTTCACATCCAAATTAAATTGTCATTAGAATCAATGATCAAAATTGGTCTTTTGATTTTCATTTGCAGTATTACTGTTTCAATCTAGGTATATGTCAGTAACTTTTTTTCTACATCTATGGCTTTAGTTTGGTATAGGTTTTGCTGAAAATTTGGGCACGGGGAAAAGTCAATTCGTTGGTAAAACGATGTGACGTATATAAATATGTAAAATATGTTTTCTTATTGAAGTCTTATAAAAGGTATTTTTTGCATGTTTTTAAATACGAATTGACTACTTAGACAAGTAGTTTAGTTATCAAAATTAACCCTAATAAAAAATCAACAAATACATATGTAAAACGTATATGAATTTATATAATTTCAGAAGATTGATCTCTGAAAATGTTAATGTCTTTGGGGAGTACATAAAAAATGGGGTATCAGAACATGGACAGAATTTAATATTTAGTCCAATTAAAGTTGTTAATCATAGGATGTAACTTGTCTTAAGCCAAAGACTTCAAATAATTGAGTTCCCCTGGAAACTGCAATACTAGTCCTGCAATTTAAAGCTTGCATAATAAGCTCATCAATCCAGTTTTTTAAACTTTTTATCCTCATTGACACAGAGCAAGAGAAAAAGATGGTCTAAGACCCCTCAGATCATCATCATCTTTACCAGTCCTTAATAATGTCATTATGTTGAGCTGCCTCCTAAGGAATCTTTAGAGAAGTCTCTCTTCTGATCCATTTGAAAATTTCCAGAACTAACGACACCTTACAAGACAACTGGGGATTAATTAAAGTTGTTACAGCTTCTGAACTCCAGGTGAACCTTTTTAGGGTTGTTACCTTGTGAACTTCCCTTAGACTCTTTATTGAAGATGATATAATTATTCCATTTAGGTACCTGCGAGATTCTACTTTATAATTTCCACAAATTCTGTCTTTACCTGTGCTAACTAGTCATTTAAAGACCATTTTCTCTAAAGATTTTTATTTTTTATATCAGTTCTGCTAAGTCACACATAATTTAGTGTTGTACCTAAATACCATACCATAATTTAGTGCTTCTAAATTGGAATTTCTTCCGATTTAGTTGTACCATAATTTAGTGCTTCTAAATTGGAATTTCTTCCGATTTTGACCATGACAGTGCCAAAATATTATTCATATTTTTTATTAATGATGGAGATGTTTTATGCTCATATATTTCTCTTTATTCCACTTTAGAAACTTTCTCCCATTTTCCTCCATAAATCCAAATTATACTTTTAAAAACCCAATTAAAGAGCTACCACTTGAGGGGCACCTGGGTGGCTCAGTTGGTTAAGCGACTGCCTTCGGCTCAGGTCATGATCCTGGAGTCCCTGGATCGAGTCCCGCATCGGGCTCCCTGCTCGGCAGGGAGTCTGCTTCTCCCTCTGACCCTCCCCCCTCTCATGTGCTCTCTCTCATTCTCTCTCTCTCAAATAAATAAATAAATAATCTTTAAAAAAACAAACAAACAAAAAACAAAAAAAAGAGCTACCACTTGGGAAAAAAAAAAACAGTTCTAGACTGATTCTTATAAAAAATGAACTTCCTCTCACTTCTACCTTCCAATACTTGGTTACTCTATAGTTGTTTCACTTATATTTATTTAAATATATAACAGCTTGCAAATGACTCCTCAAACAAATTGTTAGGGGCAAATACTAAAATATATTTTAAAAAATTTTAATCTAAAACTAATGAGTAATGTAACAATAAAAAATTAAAAAAAAATTAAGTAAGTATTGTCACTGTATGGTGAGTATACTCTCTGACATGTATAATCATTTAATAAGTGCTTATTTAACTAAACTGCTAATATCTTCTCCTGGCATAGTTGAACCAATAGAAATAATCTAAATATAGGAATTTAATACATATGTCATGAATTTTCTCAGTATTTATCTACTTCTATTACAAGTTGGCACTATATTTAAAAATTCTTCCTCACAGTTTTCTGAAATAATATTAATTTCATTCATTCATTAATGCATTCATTTATCTTTTGTTCATTTATTCAACAAATCTTTACTGAGAACTTCTAGTGTGCCAGAAACTCTGAGTATTAAGGCCATGTTTTGACCAAAATAGATATTTTATAATTATTGCAATAGAGAATATTAATATCATTTTTTGAGAACATTAGTATCATTTTAATTAATTTCATGACCTGATTTCTTTATTCTGGTTTAGTACTAAGATATCTCAGAAACACATAAATATTTTGTCAATAAATATAATAAATAGAATTCTGCATATTGTATTCTCCTTGAGGGAAGAGATGCTCTTATTTTATATCTTCACAGCGTAGGTACACATTAAGTCTGACATTCATATATTCAACAACCATCTATTCAATACATACCCTATAAAAGACTCAACACTAGATACTGTGAGGGACATGAGGGCATCAGACAAGGATTCTAGGAAAGTAGTAAGAGTGATAAGTAACATGTACACAGTTGATCCCACTGTAGGACAGAGAGAGAAAGAGCTGTAGAGAAATAAAGATATGGTGCTATTGAAATTTAGAGCAAAAACAGGTTATTCTCAAATAAAGGATTATGGAAAAACTTTTTGGAAGAGTTGGCTTTGAGCTGGGCCTAGGAGAATGGGATGAATTTAGCCATAGAAAATAGAACAGATAGGAAAGGAAAAAGAGAAGGTAGCAGAAGAGCATAGAAAGTATCTTTTTACATATAAATTATACTTCATTAAAACAAGACAATTTTTTCTAAAATTATTCTGTTACTTTTTATGCATAATTATGTTCAATTATTCTAATATTCACTTTGGAAATATTCAAAAATAAATTATCCTAATCTCCCATTTTTTCTTCTTCCTTGTCTCTTAGGGTTAGCTAAGCCCATTTAAGTCTTACCAGAAGAAAGATGCAAAAAGTCCCTCACTTTCAGAAAACTATTCCAAAATCTCTATCAGCTGAATGTAGCTCTCTATAAAGCTAAATCAAGAAATTGTTTTACTCTATTCTAGTTGTGTTTTTAGTGTGTGGTAATCTCTTTTTTTTCTACCAAATAGTTTCTGAAACAAGCTAAAGTACTTTTTTTTCACAATTTTTATGCACTAATGTATAATGATGAACTTACAATTTGAAAATATTAGCAGATACTTTAAATATGTAGCCAATTTGCCTACAATAATCAGTGTCTGTGATGATGCAAAACTTTCCCCCATCCTAAATAATTGTGCTGTTTCAATATGTAACTGGGACTATTATGATATCACCCACAGTATAAACTGTTAGCTCATGATGGCTTTTCTATTTAACATAGTACAAATTAACCAGTTACTCAAAGTTGAAGATGGTCATTTTCCTAATGATATGTTATGCTTAGCTTTGGAGGTATCAGTTCACACTCATCTTTTTCCTAATTGCCTACAGTATTCTAAGTAGAATTGCCCTTCACTCCTTTCACTAGGCTGTCCTTCTGGCCATGCAAAATGCACACTTAGGCATTACATGCAAATTTCCTCCACTCTATAATGACCTTAAAGTTGTTTCTTTCTTTGTCACCTCCCCTCCTCCAGATATTACTTAATGATGCATCTAGATCTCTTTGGGTCCCAATAAATTTGGTCAATAAATGGTCAATGCAGTAATGATTTTGTGACAATTAGTTCTCTTGGTTTCTGTCAATCACATATAGGGGAGAATCATTTAACTATCATATGGACTCCTCCTACTTTACCATGAAAATTGTAACTTTGTTTTCAGAAAAAATACTTGGGAGATAGATTTTTCAAAAATGCAGTTGTTTAATGATAATTTTATTCATAATTGCAAAAAAAAAGAATCTATTTGTGCTTCAACTGATGAATGAAGTAACTATGGTACATCCTTACAATGAAACATTACATAGTAATAAAAAGGAAGAAAACATTGATACACATAACAACATGAATGAATAAATATCAAACACATCATTATATGTAAAGAAGCCAGACAGAAACGGCGACATATCGTATCGTTTCTACTTATATGACATTCTAAAAAAGTCAAAATTGTAATGGCAAAAAACTGGTTGTGGTTTCCAAGGCCTGGGAGGGAGAAAAGTTGTCTATATAGGGCCATAAGGAAACATTTCAGGTTGGCTAAATTGACCTAAAACTTAATTTTGATGGTGTCGCATGATAGTTTGCATTTGTTAAACTCATAAAAACTCTGTACCCTAAATGGGCAAAATTTACTATATGTAAACACTACTTCAAAAAATTTGACTTTAAAAAAAGTAAAAATTAATTGATAGCTCAAAATGTGATCAATCTGAAAAGATACAGTCAACAATCATTTAGAGAGCCATCAAGAAAGGAAGGGAATTATTCATTCCATAGGATGTTTTACAAGTTTTCCTTTTCAGAAGGAGCACCAATAACATTCATATATCTTTTGTTTTACAAATAAAAATTAAATTTTAGGGGAAAAACCTTCACTGAACAAGTGCTTGTTTTTCATTGTTGTGTTAATTATGAATTTACTAAAATAATCTCCAAAAGTAACAGTATTTTGTTAAATACAAGCTTACTTAATGAGTTTATTAGTTATGATAATCATCTAGTCTTAAAATAACACACTGCTACCATTAACAATTGCAAGATTATTATCTTTTACCTCTCAGTGTAGTAAACAACTTAATAATTCAGAGACACAATGGAGAAAAACCACTGCTAGAAACTCTCACATAATAGAACTGGAACTCAGATACAAAAGACAAAATAGGATTAGAAATAATCCTGAGAAGGATGCTCTAAACAGCAAATGCCTTACCTTTGCGTTTGAGTGGCATAGCTGTTATCATAAGTCTCATAGGTCTGGTCATCATATTCACCCCCGTAGCCATCATCATACCCCTGAGGCAGAAAATGGTAGAAAGACCTATTAGCAATCAACTTGATTAACTTAGATCTGGTTTGGCTTAATGAGATTTTATGTGATGTGACCTTAATTTAGTTTTTACGTTTGGTTAGTTACTCTGCATCAGATTTTACTAGACTAATAATTTCTTCATAACCTTGACTAATATTTCATGGACCAGATATTAATATTTAATAATTAAGCTTCAGCATATCATTAAAGTAGCAATACCTCCTCTACAATTTATCTAGAATTTTGATCAATACTAATGAAAACTATATAAGAAGTTAAAAATAAATTTTCTTTTGAAAATATTATGGTTAGATAGTGTGCTAACATCATGGTGGTGTTAACATATTGGTTACAGCCCCACTGGGTTTTTTTTTTTTCTTCCCCTGATAATAATCATAATTATGTTTGAAACTATAAAATTCAGGATCCTTAAATTGTGGTCAACTTTCAGTAAAAAAGATATAGTCATCATTGCAAAACAAACAAAAAAGAAAGAAAGGAGAAAAAAGAAAAAGGGAAAGAAGAAAGAAAAGGAGGGAAGGAAGGGAAAATGAGAGGGGATGGAAAGAAGGGCTGGAGGGAAGGATTGGGGGAGGATAGGAGGCAGGAAAGAAGGAAGAGAAAAAAAGACAGAAACCACATAAAGAGCCTTTATTTTGTGCATTCTACAGTTTTTAAATCTCATAAATAAAATGATGTTGGTGGTGAGTTTGATTACCTAACTAAATTAATGCTACCAGCGCTAATGCAGATTTGTCATTGCAGACTGTGAAAGCAAGCTAGCAGTTGTACAATCCAGTTATCAATCACTGTGTGAGAGATTTACCTTTATTTCCCTTTGTGGTCACTGACTGTACTCTAAACCCTAGCCAACCACCTCAACTACTCCCTACTTCTGAAAAAACCTTTAGTTATTCTGCCTCTGGGCCTTTGCTGGTGTGTCTCTTTCCCTGGAATGCACTTCCATCCCAGCCCACCAATTCATAACTTCATTTCAGTCTGGAGGCTTATAAATCTCTCTATTGTGTTCAAAAATTTAAACAAAAAATATGTAGATATGAAAGTTTCCACATCAGTCTTGACTAAGATCTTTGAGCCCATTTAATCTGAAAACTAGTATTTTTCATCAACCTAAGAACGTTTTTAAAATATTATTTATGACTTCTCCATCTGGTTTACCATTTATATAATGCTATTATTTATATATGAAGTTTACTGAGTCTGACTTTAATTTCTTCTATTCTTCCACTTACAGTTTTCACTTCATCATATTTTTGCTCTGCACTATGGGATCGTTTCTCCATTTGATCTTTGACTATTCTAATTCAATTCCTATTAAGTTAAAAAATTAAATATTCTAAAGTTAATTTTAACATATAAGATTATTTTAAAATAGTACTAAAGGATTCATGCACAAAAAACAGCACTTCCTTTCCTTGTCTCTCTCTAACCTTCAGTTCTCTTTAAGCCTTTTCATCTATTATTCTAGTATTAATTTTTATGTTATTAAGTAATATGGTTAAATTAATGTTGTTGATTTATGAAATTTAATTATTTTCTATTGACTAGCCATTCAGGTTATTAAGGATTTAGTTTTGTTATAGACTTTTCCCTACATTTTTCCCTACACTTTAATATAGTTTCATCATTACTTTTTTAAGTAGTCAGTATCTACACTATAATTCAATAATAAATATTATTTACTAAGGATCCAAATAGACTAATACAATTCTTTTTTTATTCTCATATACTTTTTGTTTCTCCTAAAGTTAATAATTGCTCATTCATTTTATTTTATTATTTTATTTTATTATTTTCTTGGTTGCCTATATATTTTGAATTATTTGTTTGTAATTATCCCCGCGCGTTGGGCTCCATGCTGGGCGTGGAGCCTACTTAGGATTCTCTCTCTCTCTACCCCTCCCCGTCCCCCCTCCACTCGTGCGCTCTCTCTCAAAAAAGTATAGTTAACATATAATGTAATATTAATTTCAGGTGTACAATAGAGTGAATCAACATTTCCATACAACAGCCAGTTGCAAGTATACTCCTTAATCCCCATCACCTGTTTTACCCATCCCCCCCACACAGCTGCTGCTCTGGTAGCTATCACTTTGTTCTCTATAGTTAACACTATGTTTCTTGGTTTGCCTCCCTCCCTTTTTTTTCCCCTTTGCTTATTTGTTTTGTTTCTTAAATTCCACATGAGTGAAATCATATGGTATTTTTCTTTCTCTGACTTACTTCATTTAGCATAATACTTTCTAGCTCCATCCATGTCATTGCAAATGGCAGGATTTCATTCATTTTTATGGCTGAGTATATTCATATATATATATATATATATACACACACACACACACACACACATACATATATGTATATATACATATACACATACACACACCACCTCTTTTATCTATTCATCAGTCAATGGGTACTTGGCTGTTTCCACAATTTGGCTATTGTAGATAATGCTGCTATAAACATTGGGATGTATGTATCCCTTTGATTTAGTATTTTTGTATCCTTTGTGTAAATACCTAGTAGTGCCATAGATGGATTATATAGTGTAGTTCTATTTTTAACTTTTTGAGGAACCTCCATACTGTTTTCCAGAGTGGCTGCACCAGTTTGCATTCCCACCAACAGTGCAAGAGGGTTCCCCTTTCTCCACATCCTCACCAACACCTGTTGTTTCCTGTGTTGTTAATTTTAGCCATTCTGACAGGCATAAGGTGATATCTCATTGTGGTTTTGATTTGTATTTCCCTGATGATGAGTGATGTTGAGCATTTTTTTATGTGTTTGTTAGCCATCTGGATGTCTTCTTTGGAAAGATGTCTATTCATGTCTTCTGCCCATTTTTAAACTGGATTATTTGGTTTTTAGGTGTTGAGTTTTATAAATTCCTTATATATTTTGGATATTAACCCTTTATTGAATATGAAATTTGCAAATATCTTCTCCCATTCTGTAGGTTGCCTTTTAGTTTTGTTAAGTGTTTCCTTCACTGTGTAAAAGCTTTTTATTTTGATGTAGTCCCAATAGATTATTTTTGCTTTTGTTGCTATGGCCAGTGTCAAAGAGGTTACTGCCATGTTCTCCTCTAGGATTTTAACTAAATTTCCTAATGTCTAACATTTAGGTCTTTCATCCATTTTGAATTTATATTTGGGTATGGTGTAAGAAAGTGGTCCGGTTTCATTCTTTTACATGTGACTGTCCAGTTTTCCCAACACCATGTGTTGAAGAGACCGTCTTTTCCCCATTGGATATTCTTTTCCTGCTTTGTCAAAGATTAATTAACCATATGCTTGTGGGTTAATTTCTGGGTTGTTTATTCTGTTGTCTTGATCTATGTGTCTGTGTCTATTTTTGTGCCAGTGCCATACTGTTTTGATCCCTATCACTTAGTAGTATGACTTGAAGTCCAGAACTGTGATGCCTCCAGCCTTGCTTTTCTTTTTCAAGATTGCTTTGGCTATTTGTGGTCTTTTATGGTTCCATAAAATTTTAGGATTGTTTGTTCTAGCACTGTGAAAAATGCTATAAAGTTGCAGGATAGAAGATCAATGTACAGAAATCTATTGCATTTCTATATACCAATAATGAAGCAGAAAGAGAAATTGAGGAATCAATCCCATTTACAATTACACCAAAAACAATAAGATACCTATGAATAAACCTAACCAAAGAGGTGAAAGACCTGTATTCTGAAAACTATAAAACACTGATGAAAGAAATTGAAGATGACATAAAGAAATGGAAAGACATTCCATGCTTATGGACTGCAAGAACAAATAATGTTAAAATGTCTATAATTACCCAAAGCAATCTACACATTTAATGCAATCCCTATCAAGATCCTCCAGGCTTTTATTGCTTTCCATAACTCTGCCTTTTTGAGTAGTCTAGACCAACTGTTTTGTAGACTGTCCCATATTCTGAATTTGTTTGATTATTCTCATAATTACATTTTGCTTCAACATTTTTGAAAGGATACTGCATCTGTGATATTATGCTGCACATTTATCTGATTGCAATTTTTTAAATTCTAATCCCACACTGGATTGATTGAGTGTAGAAGATTAGGATGAAAATGATTTTCAATCAGAACTTTTGAGAGCTTTGAGTCAGTGTTTTCATCACTACATATTGGTGCTGAGAATTCCTGCTACTTGTATGTGACCTAGTTTTATTTCATTTCACTTTTTTTCTTTCCTTTCAGGATGCTTTTACAAACTTTACATCTGGTGTTCTGAAGTTTTATAATGCTGTGCCTTTGTGTGTGGTGTGTCTCTTTTCATTCAGTATGCTGGGTAGTCAGGGCGCTCTTTTAATTGTGGGAGCTTGTGTTCTCCAGTTCTGGCAAATGTCATTGTACTTTTCTTCTCTCTTTCTAGTACTCTTACTAGTGAGATATTGGATCTTCTGCATTGCTGCGTAATTTTATCTTTGTGTCTAATGTGATATCTCTTATGCTTTTTGTTTTACTTAATGGGAGAATTCTAAAAAAGTCAATCTTGCAACCATCCTGTAAGATGTATAACTTTATTTACACACCTATACCCCCTCCAACACACACATGAACAGCTATCAAGTGTGCACAGGAGGCTCTTGTGTTCTCAGGCGAAATTTAGGCATCCTGTTCTCAACTCAAGGCTTCACCTCCCCTCTGGTGGAACAGCAGTTAACATCACAGCCGGAATTTCCCATAGCTGAACAGGCCAGGCAGTCTAGCTCTCTATCTTGGGGATCACTGGGTCAGTAACTAGGGCATTAATTGTATTTGCCACAGGTGTCTCCAGGACTGCACACATCTTTTCTAGCATCCATGCTATTGTTCTTCACCAAAATTCTAAAAATATGGCTTCATTAACCCTCAGTTGTTACTCTAGACTCAAGAGCTCTAGCTTCTAACAGGAAGCAAGCAAGTTTTGTTTTGTTTTGTTTTGTTTTTGTGTTTGTGTCCCCACACGAG